ACGATACGGTCATCCATCATTCTGATAGTGATATACATAATTTAACAGCGCATTTAAATAGCGCATACACCTTGGAATTCTTTTGACAAGTAAATTATATTGAGATAGTACATCAACAATATGTTTTAAATAAATGTGAAAAGTTATTAAATATGATAAACACATGTAAAATAATTTCTAGTACATCCACATTAAATCAGTTATATAAATCATTTGTTCTCCCAGTGATCATTTATGAATCGTGTATCTATATCAATCAATCTAATATTTCTGCTTTCGAACATGTGCAATATAATGCTTCTTTATTAGTAAACGGTGCATTACATCGTACGAATCGAATGAAAATAAGAAAACTTTTAGGATGGAGTAACATCGAAGTAACATTTAAGCTAACAAAACTGAGGCATTTTCATAAAATTATTTATAAAAAAGCTCCATTATTTCTTTGTAAGTACATACAATCGATGTATAGCTTATCCCATAACACCCGTTCTAATAATCACAATAAAATCAAGTTAAGTTAATTTACGGAAGAAGTAAAAATTTCAACTCTGTCCCTTTTTCCATTTTATCATCAATGTAGAATAATTTGCCGAGTAAATTACGTCAAATACATAAACTAATGTCTTTTACACAAGAATTATCGAAGTTCTTAGAATTAAACGTAGGATAACTTGGTTTGATATACCAATATCTCTGACAAACATTCTCTCACAGACGTGTGTCACTCACCTAAACGCGTGTGTCACAGAGAACTCCACCAGACCTCTCCGACAGTATTACCGCTGCTGTTCAAAACTATTTCCTAGCCGAAATACGTGCCAAAAATCTACACTTTCACACGGAGAGAGAGTCGCACAAACAATACTCCTCAAAAACATTTTTTGGTGAACGTGTGTCATCTTGAAAAGTGAGTGTATCATATACAACTCGATGCCTTCTATCCAACGGTATGGCTGATGGCAAATAAGATTCCGCGTAAAACATGTGAAATAGAGAAATACCGTCCAAACTAGTGTAATACATACTGTATTCTAGAAATATTCTCTCTGAAGCGTGTGTCATAGGCAAAAACGAATGGTTCATGTACATTTCGGCGAGCTGAATCCAAATATGGTGTCACACGTAAGACTTGTGTCAACAGTTTTATTGTATAATGGACTTTACAACAAAAGTGACTACATTTTCAGAAAAATGAAACCTTGTGTTTTTTAGAAATGAACATCAAAGGAAATCAGTTAAGGATGAAGTTCTTCACATGTTTTTCTATAGCGAATAGAGTGCTGTTTCAATTATGTGGAGCCCATCGTAATCATATAGTCCGGATGGGTGCATATCGTTGAATTTGTAATATTTGTGGTTTATTTCGAACGTGACAGTAAAGTGTTGTTGGTGATGAACCACAGTGCCGACAAGAAAGTACCTAAACTGTTTATGCGATTAGAAGGATCGTGGGTCGTGAAAGTAGCTGATATACCTCGGACTGAGCATCCAAGGTATTGGCTACCGTTCTTGAGTTTAGATGCTTAAAACAATTCAACAGATTTGCCTGTTTGTCCGATTAAAAGTCGCTACTATTTTTGCGTAATAAGTGAATAGTTGAGAGTTACTTACAAGTGTTCGCCAATCATTAGTGTATCTGGTAAATCTCGTGTACTTGTTCGACTTTCCGACGAAATGTCGAGAATACAAAATGGCGGATTAATGAGAAACTGCTGAGGCGAATATATGCGCTTTGCTGCGCAGCACTCGATAATTCTAATTATATAAGAGCAGCATATAAACAAAGTAGAAAAATGCTAACATGCGATTCATACCGTCTACTACCATCCTCCATTAACATATCACTTTCGAATGTGTCACCCCAGAAATTTTCAGGCACCGATCTGCCACATCTGCCCGCTTGCTCATATGAAAAATCTTCAAGTACATTTGGATAACATCAAATTCCTATTCAGCTTCAGAATGTAAAATTCGTTTTTTCCCGCTTAGGATTACACGAAACTTAGCTAAAAATAATTAGCTATACATCATCGGCAAGTGTACGGATATAAATTTCAGTAATTGAAAAGAACGGTAAAGAACTCTAACCTGCTCCCTGACAAGTATTCAACGATAGCAGTCGCGACCTATCCGATATAGGACCGAAGGTGAGCCATGATCCGTTAGAAAAATATTTCACACTACCTCGGATTGAGAATTGTCGGATTAATTACAATTTATAAAACACGAATGAAATGTACGGTGCTGGCAACTCAAACTTCGAGTAATAATTTTTTTTAACCTGAGTAAGAAAAAGTCGTTTTTAACTTTTGAAGAACTATTTTCTAGTCGAAAAACGTGAAGGGCGCATTTTTTCGAAAACAGTTAGTTTTAAAAAAAATTCACTTTTATTTCGTTCAAAGTTCTTTTACAGTATATTTTTCGGATTCAGCATTAAAAACTGAATATCAAAACGATGTTTAATTGAATTCAAACTCAAAAGTTGATTGAGTGAAGAGATGAAGCCAATTTTTTTACTTCATTAGGGTCGCCGTTAAACGAGCTTTAAAAGCATGCATCGCTGTTTTTCCAGTTTTCTTTATCACTGAGAAAATTGACTTTTGCTAAGTAAGGAGCGAAAAAGTGAAAATTCTGCCCGTAATTCGTAGGCACGCACCAGTTTTTAATTGGTGTTGGGGCATCCGGGAGAATTGCTACAAATCAGTTATCACGATTCTCTCAGAGGTGTAAAACATCTAATTTTGTAGGAAAATGTTTGCTCTACAAAATACATTTGTTAAAAGAACTCCAGAATCATTTCTAAGAAAGCTCGGAGTATTCAAAAATCCATTAAATCACGGAAAAAAACTGTTCGAACAGTTTTTTTTCGTAATTTAGTACATTTTAGAATGCTCTAAGTTTTCTTAGAAATGATTCTGGAGTTCTTTTAACAAATGCATTTTGTAGAGCAAACATTTTTCTGAATAGTTCTCGATTGCGGCTTCCTTCTTAGCGATAATCGCTATACCGACTGTTTTTCTCGATTGGTTTGTTGCTTTCATTGCCGATGATATTTTTTCTAAGATGTAATCTTTACTTGAATATCTCATGTTTGGCTGCCGACGTCTCGAACTTCTACGACTGCTGTCTGTGCTGATAGTGGTCTCTTGAGATGACGAACTATTGTCAATTTGTGATGACGGATGCACTGTGTTATTGTCTTCCTCATTTGTAGTAAACCATCTCGTGCTTTTTTTATTCACAGCTTCAGCCTCAGATATTTCATCTAGCGAAGCCATTGAAACGCTGAAAGCAAAAATACAAAGCCTCTGTTACTTCAACCAAAAATAGTTAAGAAGAACTATCATTATATAAAGTTTGAGGGCTGTCAGTCGAACAGCAAACTTCCAAACTTCACATTTACTTCCGCCTTTTAGAGCTTGCGAATTTATGAACTTCGACTTTAAGAACTTATGAATTTCTGGACTTTTAGAATTTATGAATTTCTCTACTTTATGAATTTATCAACTTCAGGAGTTTATGAATTTCTCGACTTTAAGAATGTATGAAGTTCTGGACTTCTAGAATTTATGACTTTTTAGGATTTATTAATTTATGAATTTCTCGACTTTATGAATTTATGAATTTATCAACTTCAGGAGTTTATGAACTTTTAGAATTTATGAATTTATGAATTTCTCGACTTCTAGAATTTATGAATTTATCAACTTTATGAATTTATGAATTTCTAGACTTGTAGAATTTATGCCTTTTTAGGATTTATTAATTTATGAAATTCTAGAATTCACGAATTTATGAATTTCTCGGCTTTGAGAATTTACTAATGTATGAATTTTTGTACTTCTAGAATTTGTGAATTTGGGTTTTAAATTCCAAAAGTTCATCGCTATATCCACCACACAACAGCGCTTAAATTCAAATTTGAAACTTTTACGTACACGGGACGTCTCTATAAAGTTTTATTCGACTAGTTGTTAAATGTCTCAGAAAATGCTCTCAAAGAGACTGGAATATTCGTTAATACTCTGTCTGCTTAGGAACAAACTAATTTGAATAGGCTGGAACTTACCTTAATTGTGCATCTCTAAGATCCTTATACTCTTCCGTCGAGATGCTTCTTTTCGGCTTCAACGGAAATAACGCACATCTAAAATTAGAACCCGAAGCTAAATGACATATGTAATTTATAAGTCAGTTACATACGTGGTTTGCTTCGCTGACGATGGTCTTTTTGTGATTCTTCCCAAATAGACCGATCTATTTGTGTTTCTTTTACGACGATTCCATACTTCGATTATGTTAATATCAGTATTATTTTTCGCACGCTTTCGTCGACCTTTATTTGTTTGAGTAACTCCATATTTGCCAGCTTTTAATCTTGCCTGAGTGCTTTGAAAGATTTCAGAAACGAGTTGTGCCAGCCGCAGGCGTGTTTTTCGTTGAAGACGAGACACTTTTATAATAGAAAAATAGGATTCGACTGTGGCATTCGACAGACGTCCAGCGCCTATATTTTTTGTGTCACTTGTATAAACCAAACCATCACTAGCATAACTATAAGCAGTCGGTGGTGAGTTAGAAGTTGAGTAAGTTATCTATAAACTTACCGTTCCACAAATTGATATAGAATAGAGCTCCACATTGGAACATAAGCGAACCACCTGTATAGAACTTTCACGACCGGTTTGGAGTAACAGGGATTATTCACCTTTTTGACCTCCTTATTATCCCACATACTGTTCAAAATTTTCACTCGCTTTTTTGCCTCACGATTGAACGGCGATTGATGTATGATAGGAATATCAGGTTGCTCTA